TATTAGCCCAAGAGACAGAAAGGGCCACATAAACCAGAGACTTCATCAGCCTGAGACCAGAAGAACTAGATGGTGCCCAGCTACCACCAATGACCACCCTGACAGGGAACACAACAGAGAGTCTCTGATGGAGCAGGGAGAAGTTAGGTGCAGAACTCAAATTCTAGTAAAAAGACCAGACTTAATGGTTTGAATGAGACTGGAGGGACCCTGGAAGACATGGCCCCCAGACTCTGTGTTAGCCCAAAACTAAAACCATTCCCAAGGCCAACTCTTCAGACAAAGATTAGACTGGACTGTGGGACATAAAATGGTACTTGTGAAGAGTGTGCTTCTTAGCTCAAGTAGATACATGAGGCTAAATGGGCAGCTCCTGTCCAGAGGCGAGATGAGAAGGTAGAGAGGGTCAGGAGCTGGTTGAATGTACACGGGAAATCCAGGGTGGAAAGGAGGAGTGTGCTGTAACAGTATAGGGAGAGCAACTAGGGTCACATAACAATGTATGTATAAATTTTTGTATGAGAGACTAACTTGAATTGTAAACTTTCACTTAAAGGACAACAATAAAGAAAAAAAAGAAAGTTAAAATTACAGTTATTCAGGCTTCTGGCTTCCTAAGTTTCCATATTAAAGGATTTTGCTCAATTTAAATTGCTTTCTTTAACTTGTTATTGTTAGTTCCGTCGAGTTGATTCTAACTCATGGCAACCCCATGTGTACAGAGTAGAACTGCTCCATAGGCTTTTCAGGGCTGTGACCTTTCAGAAACAGATCTCCAGGCTTGTCTTCCAAGGTGCCTCTGGGTAGGTTCAAACCTCCAGCCTTTTCGGCTAGTAGTCAAGCACTTATGTGCCACCCAGGGACTCCTTTCTTTAACTAGTGATGCAGTATATTATAGATTTCCAGACTGTTCTGTTTGGGTTGTTTTCCCATGATGCTTCATAGAGTTTTGAGGGATTTAGCAAAGGTGTCTCTATGGCCACCATGGGGGATCAGGATGGAGTCATGCAGATGGAGTTGCAATTTCTCCTAACTCCTTCCTTAACTAGAACAGCTTCTATTTCATATATTATATACCTAGTAAGGTTCTAGTGACCCTAATGGTTTTCTTATATCTCCTAGTTTACCTCCAAAGAGTTAATTTAACAAATACTTATTTAGCATCTTCTGGATATGTGAAGGCATGTTCCTTTGCACTTATCAAGTTTGTACTCTGCTGTTAACTGAAAGTTTGGAGGTTTGAACCCACCCAGTGGCACTATAGAAGAAAGGTCACTTCCATAAAAATTAAAGCCAAGAAAGTCCTGTGCAGCTCAGTTCTACTCTGTAACGCATGGGGTCGCCATGAGTTGGATCGACTCAACAACATCAGGTTTGGTGGTTTTTTATTTTTTGGGTTTTTTTTGTATATGTGAAAGGCTTTGTACTAACCCCAGCAAAACAAATTCAAACATGAAGACAAAGTTCTTGCCACGAATGACTTTTTCCTGTTTAGTTGAAAAATAAGACAACTGAAATTTTAACATGGGGCACCTTGTCAAATGTGGCATTATTTAAAAATATTCTGAAAGCTTAAAGGAAGAAGGAGAGCTTTCATTTATTTGAGGGAATCAGAACAAAGTTTGTGGACTAGGTATGTTAGAGTAGAATCTGAGCAGGTAGTTTAGAAATGAGTAAAGGAACTTTCTAAATAGAGTGGATAACATTAATGAAAGTTAAGAATCAAGAAAATTTGAGAAACAGCAAGTGGTCTAATAGACATCAATGTGGTTCATATCTGAGTACAGTGAGAGATTGAAACTATATAGAAGGCCAGGCAGAGGAGCTTATATGTATACCAGTAGACTATGAGAAATCGTTGATTTGCATAAACAATAATAAATGTTTACAATTGAAAGGGCAGTGATCTGAACACAACTGTGCTTCAGGATCTCAACAGAACTGTGCTTCAGGAAGATTAATATACAGTAGTGTATAAAATGGAGTTTGAAAAAATAAGTTATTGTATTTGTGAAAATATTTTTTATACTTAAATTTGTTAATAGCTAATTTCAGATTTTGATCTTTGGTTTTGTTTTATGAAATTAAAGAAAGATATGAAAAATCAAATATACCCACTGATATTCTAACCTCAAGAGAACAGTTTTTCTCAGAGGAAGAAAGAAAATGCATGGCTATCAATCAGAAGAAAGCTTATATTTTAGTAACACCACTTAAATCTAAAAAAGTGATAGAGCAAAAATGCATGAAGTATAATCTGTCCTCTACTACCATTAAAGAAATAACAGATTCTGCAATGTCAAACCACCAAAAAGAAAGTGAATCAGACTTAAATAAAACCGCAAATCCCATCAGGAAGCCCACAAGGACTTTAGAAAATACATTTGCGTATAGTGTGGATCATAAAAGTAAAAACCAGGAAGACTGCAGTGAATGTGATTTACTCACTGTCAACCAGAAAATAAAAATACCTACCCCTAAAAAGGAACAAATGGCCACCTGTAACTTAAAGAAAAATAAAAGATCACCAGCATTGAAGGAAGTTGAAAATCAAGTAGCTACGTCATTTCACAAGCATCAGTCCTCATCAGATTTATCTTGTGAAGACAGCGAAACAGCAAAGCAAGTTGAAAGGAAATCTAGGGTTGTTAAGAAAACCAAAGAAAGAAATACCAAAGAAACAGTGGTCCATCTAAGAAAAAGCACAAGAAACACCACAAGGAATATCGTAGTGATTTCTGAATCTGAAACTGAAGAAAGTGAAAATGATTATCATACCAAACAAAAGAAAGTTAGATCTTCTGCTAAAGAAACTGTTCAGAAATCTGGTATTAGGAATGAGTTTCCTGTTGTTGAGGGTATGGGATCTGATAAGATGAACAGACATCCCTCAGAATGTTTACCTGGTTTAACTCAGGATGAGGAATGGAATGAGAAGGAGATACAGAAACTTCATCGGTAAGTAGTTGCTAAAATATCTACAGAATGGCCACATAACAATTGAAGACATAAAAATAGCAATCAGGGATTGCTTTAATGACTTCTAACCATTAAGATGGAAGATGTCATTCCAAAAAAAAAAAATAGAGAAAAATTATAATTTGTACAGAGCATAGTGTACACATAGAGATAACTTCTAACTAGGTACTTTGGGCCATCTCTAAAACATATGAGGAAAGTAAAAATAACCTTTTCATTCCTATTTACTATCTCAAGATAGCCAAATGCTACTCTCTGTTAGCTTTAAAATTTTAAGAAATATTTTATAATTCAGTTTACTATTAAAAATCCTAAAGCTGAACTAAAATTTATAGATTATTTAATATAGTCTTTTCCCCCTTACTTGTAGGGAGGAAAATAGAGTCTCAAAAATTTAAGATTACATAGCTAGTGCAGAAATTGAAGTTAAGCTCAGTTTAGAACCTGCTCTTTTATTAATTCATTGAACATTTATTTATTGCGTGCCTTCTATATACCTGTCAGTTTTCAGTGTCTGGGGATACAGCAGAAACTAAATAGACAAAGTCCTTTGTCTTAAGGAGCTTGTGGTCTAGTAGTGAAGACAGACAATACAAAAACTAAACCAATAAGTAAAAATAATTACAAATTGTGTTACATTCTCTGAAGGATGCAGCCATGAGACTGAGATGGAGAACTACAGGTAGTGTGATCAGAAGAGCTCTCTCAGTTAATGACTCTTAAGTGGAGACTGAAGGATGAGATGATGTCAGTCATATAAAGAGATGGAGAAAGAGCATTCCAGAAATGGGACAACCTAAACAAATACCCTAAGGGTAGAAAAAGTTTGCTGTGTGAAGAACTAAAATAAGACTACTGTTGTTAGAACATGAGTTATAGGGGAATGGCTTGAGATAAACGCAGGAAGATAGGTTATGACCATAGCATGCGCAAACTTCTAGGTCACGATTAGGAAATTAGTTTTGTTTTTATTTTTTAAGGTGCATTAAAAAGACATGCAAGTGTAGCATGATACATTTTGAGAAGATTCTTCTGGGGAGGAGACAAGACATTAATTCTGGGATTAATTAAATCTAGCAATATTTGGACAATAAAAAGTCCATAAGCAAATCTATCAGTTTTGTGGCATGTGACCTAAATGAGTGGATGGTGATGTAGGGAATATTGAAATAACACTGCTAGTACCATTTTTAGGACAGTAATATGTATACTAAGTTCTAGGTAATCTTTAACAAACGAACTTTTAGAATATAATTCGTTTGTTAAAGTGGGGACTACCTTAATGTTGATTTGTAGTTTCTTTGTTTTCTGTTTCAATTTTCATTTCCGTCAGTTAGGAGAATGTTTTATCTAAAATATGTTCTATAAATTATAGTAGAATGAAAGAAAACATAATGCTTTTTAATAAAGAGCTTATAATCTGGAGTACATAGGAACTAAGAGCTCATCTTCCAATATACTTATCATTCACAAGATTTGAGCAACAGTGTAGAAAAAGTAGTCATGCTACAGTCCCTCAAAAGACCAAATCATTGATTAGTTGGACCTATGAAAACAATGTTGAAAGATGTGGGATGATTTTTCAGGTTTAGTAGAATACAACAGAATAATTAGAAGGAATCTACTAGACAAGTAAAATTACACTGTCATATTTTAAGCTCTAGAGTAAGTTACTGAGTAAAGTAAAGTAAAGTAAAGTTACTGTTTTCGTTCCAAATAATTATCCAGAATGATTTTGGTAAAATACCTTTAGCTCAGTAAATCTCATTGATTCAGTGATATGCATTCTGAAGTTTATTTTTATTGATTTGAATTCTTGTTCTTTAACTGGTTTTGGTCTTCCATAGTGCTTTTACATCTTTCCCAAAGCACAAACCTGGTTTCTGGTCAGATGTAGCTATGGCTGTAGGTTCTCGATCTGCTGAGGAATGCCAGAAGAAATATATGGAAGATCCTCGAGGAAAAAGGTTTCGGAAACATGTCACTAAGAAAAAGCCAGCCAAACCCAAAGTTCAAAATGGTAATCTTTGTAGTAGATAGATTTTTCCTAATTCTTAATGTAGATTTCTAATCATTCACTAAATGTATTTTATATTTCATCCAGTTTCTGTTTTAGGTAAGCATTTTCTTACATTTTAAAGCTAGAAAGAACTTCAAAAATGATCTGTTTAATTTTCGAGTCTTACCTACGTAGCTATTTCCATCAATAGTAGCTTTAGCAGCCTTGTGCTTTGAGTTTATTCTAGGAAATCTGCAGTTGGATCCAGAGATTTTAATATCTGGATTGTTGTTCTAAGGGTCTAATTTAATTTGAAGCCACTTGGGTAGGATCCCTAGTAATTTAGACGAAAACTTAGAATAAATTTAGTTTTCATAGTTCCCAGGATTATCACTCGTGCCCAGGGTTGCTAATAAAAGGTGTTTTATGCCAGAAAGTCTTTGACTCAGCTTTTAGGGAATACCTAGTATCCCTGTCATAATTCAGTAAGGTTTATATTTTAACAAAATCAATAAATTAGGCATTCAGCAAGAAGATATATGGGAAGTAGCTTTCTCACAGCATAAAGACTTTTTTGACCTCATCATGCCTTATCTTAGGTAGTTTCTTCATGAGGATCTTGCTGGCTAATCATATTGCACAGATCCCGGTGTAAAGACTCATTTGTTACATAGGAGACTTGTAAAATGGTAGAGCTTGAATTTACTTAATATGAATACACAAGATAGTTAGAGCAGTTACTAAAAATGATCAAATCATTAACCAAATCGTCCCTGACTTTAAGGCAGGATAGGTAATGCTGATAAGAAGCAAACTATCAAGATAACTGCCAAAGTGGGAACTCTTAAAAGGAAGCAACAGATGAGGAATTTTCTGGAACAGTTGCCGAAAGATGACCATGATGATTTTTTCAGTACACCTTTACAGAATCGGAGAGTACTGGTAAGAGTCTTAAATGTATGAAATCACTTTTTTCTTTATCTGTATTGGCTTTTATATCTTTCATTTTTATGTATGGTTAGTGTTCATCACTAATATTAGGCCAAAGATTGATAGTATCTATAGACATGACCAGGGTGTAGTATAGGAAGTAATCTGCCAGTAATTGACACTCTCACTAGCTTCCAGTCTGCTCTTGAATGGAGTTCAAAGGTAATGTTTAAAGAACCAAGCAGAAAACCCAGAAATAAGCCAAATATATATATTTAAAATTTAATATACAGTGAGCAAACTTTTTTAAAAAGATGATAAGATTATTATCTACTGTATGATAAATTGGAGGGAATTAGTGACATTAACACAAGATTGACAGATGTGAATGTATGAAAGAGTTAATTTTTGTAGTATGAAAAGTAGCATAATTAAAAATTTCAGTGATTAGGGTAAAGTATTTGCAAAAAATATGACCAAGCCAGTAATAATCTGTAATATGAAGAGCCCATTCAAGTGCTACTGGAATAATAGTAAATATTGAGATCATAGGAAAAAAGTGGACCAAAAAAAATTGAAATGACTGAGCAAACACTTGGGGAGTAGTCATTTTAGCTAGTAATCAAAGGAAAACAAAGTAAAGTAAATTATATGTGTGCTTTCTAACTTACACAGTCTTTTTTTAAAAAAATAAGTTAAAATATCCACTGCTAACAAAAGCAGTGGAGATGATGATACAGTCATACATCAGTGGATGCATAAATGGAATCACACCTTTTGGAAGTCATTATGGCGATACATTACAAGAGCTATAAAGATTAATTCTACTGTTGTGGACTCATCCTAAGGAATTCTAAAGAAGCCAGAAATCTTCCCAAAGATACTCATATCGTTACAGCAAAAAAATAGAAACAATATATGTATCCAATAAGGATATTCTTCCTAAACACAATGAAACATAGTATAAATATTTAATGCAAATTTGAGACTGTTCCTATAATCTATATACAAAAGATTGAAGTAATTTAAGAATGTGTGGATATAGACAACTGGACTGTTAAGTGTAAAAATTGAAAGAGTTGTGTTAGTGAGCTAGACTTGATAAATTTTTCTAATTTTTTTCTAATATAACAACTTCTTAATATTGTTGCTAAGTCATCTTCAATTTATAAGGCTACACAGTGCTTTACAGAGTTTAATAACATAATTATCTAGGCTTCCTTTTTTGCCTAAACAGGTTATAGAGGAAGGTGCTTAAGAGGTCTGTCTGAGACCTTTATGTTCTCTTCGTAACACTATGCTCCTTCAGGGGTTATGCCCTTATTGTATCCCAACATCATTTCAGGGTCCATATGTGCTTTGGCCTACATGCAATAGTAGCAACATTAAAAACATAATAAAATAGAAATGAAAAGTAGTGAATTAGCTCATTTTCTGTGGCATATGGCCGCTTTCGCTAAGATTTTAATGTAAGTAAGATCTATTTAAGGATTGAATTGTTGTTTATTGGAAATACATACACACAGAAAAGTTTAATACAGTATTGCCTGAGTACCTACTGAGTGCCAAGCATAATAATAAAAATGAATTCCAGTTTTATTTTGTTCAGTCTACACCAAAGGTCGGCCAAGTGTGGCTCGTGGGCCAAATTCGGCCTACCACCTTCTTGTGAATAAAATTTTATTGGAACACATCCATGCCCATTTGTTTACATATTTTCTATGGCTACTTTCGTACTACAACTGCAGAGTTGAATAGTTGGGACAGAAACTGTGGCTCACAAAGCCTAAAATATTTCCTGACACTTTACAGAAAACATTTGCCAACCTCTGGACTGTACAACTTTTAGAAGTAGGTGTCATTGTCTCTGTTTTACAGAGGAGAAATTAAGATTTTTTGAGGCAAAGACTCTGTCCTCTAACTTTTATTGTTTTTAATTGGTTGGAAAGTTGTGAAGAGAAAAACAACTTAGCATATCAAAAAACATTTTTGATAATGAGAAAATCAATTTTTATAGGCACCTGCTGGTAATAAATATTTGCTTTCTAGCTGCCAAGTTTTCAGAACCATCAAGAAGAGGATGATATTCTGCCCAGTATAGACACGAATCCAACAACTCCATCATCAGTTATCTTTCCATTGGCAAAAACTCCTCAGTGTCAGCATGTCAGTCCTGGCATGCTAGCCTCTATAAATAGGTAAATATTTATGCATTCAATACTGTAATTCTCTTCATCAGCATAATGAGGAATATTTAAACATTTTGCGAGTTTAGGTGAGTAGATGCCTGTAATGGGAAGAGCCATCACTATTTAAAAAAAAAAAAAAAATCAAGAAAGAATTGCTCCTAGAAGCCAAGGATGGACAATTTCAGGAATTAGAGATGTTATTCTATTGAAATAGTGCTGGGACATAGCTTACACTTTACATCAGAATAAATTCCAAATGGATAAAAATTTTACAGGTAAATTATTAAACTCTAAAAAATACCTAAAGAAACCTTGGAGATTTCTTTTACAATCTCAAATTAGTGAAGGTCTTTCTGACTGATACAAGACCCAGAAGCCACTAATGAAATGATTCATAAAATAAACCATATAAAAAAATAAAAAGTTTTGCCTGGTACCAACCACCATAAACAACCAAAGATAAATAATCTGAGAAAAGAGCATATGCAACCAATCATGCCCAAAGGTCTAATTTCCCTAATATATATATAGTGCTCCTATAAGTTAACAAGAGAAGGAAAGCCATTTTCATGCACTGCTAATGAGAAGGTAACTTGGTACAATTTCAGCAGGCAACAACTTTTCAATATTTATCAAAATTTTAAATTCACACGCCCTTTGGCCTACCAATCCTACTTCTAGAAATTATGAATGTACAGCTTATTCATTGCAGCATTGTTTATAATGGCAAAAGACTGGAAACCACTCAAGTGTCCATCAGTAAAGACTAATAAATTTTAGTACATTATGTAGTCATAGACATTAATAACAAAATTTGTTATATACTATTATGGTAAAATGTCCAAGATACGTTAATTCAAAAAAGTTACATGCAGTGAATAATATGCTGCCATTTGCATAAATAGGGATGTTATATGTATATGTGTGTGCATGTATATATATATTTATAAAATATATTCATATATATGCACATTTGTTGTTGTTAGGTGCCGTCGAGTTGGGTTCCAACTCATAGTGACTCTGAACAACGGAACAAAACACTACCCGGTCCTGCACCATCTTCGCAATCATTGCTATGTTTGAACCCCTGTATACATACACATACATACCTATAGTGGCACAAACAGTTAAGTGCTGGGCTACTAATCAGAAAGTTGGTGGTGTGAACCCACCTAGAAGCCTCAGAAGAAAAGCCTGGCAGTCTGCTTCTGAGAGGTCACAGCCATGAAAACCCTGTGGAGTGCAGTTCTACTCTGGAACATGTGGGATTGCCATAACTCAAAATCAGTAGTAACTGTAACACACATTTATGTATGGGAAACCCTGGTGGCGTAGTGGTTAAGGGTTTGGCTGCTAACCAAAAGGTTGGCAGTTTGAATCCACCAGGCGCTGCTTAGAAACCATATGGGGCAGTTCTACTCTGTCCTATGGGGTCGCTATGAGTTGGAATCGACGGCAATGGGTTTTTTTATGTATGTATATGTATTATATATGTATACAGGCAGTCCCCAGGTTACCAACGTCCGACTTACAGACAACTCGTACTTAAGAATGGACTGCCATAAAACATATTATATTAAAAATTTGAGTTAAATATATAACAATGGTGCATAATAAATGCATGCACTACTTTGTGATGCTCATGAAAGCACTGTGTGGTTTGGAAGTGTTTTATATGCATAGACAGGTAAAATATATACTATACACTAAGACAAACATTTGACTGACGCTGAATAAGAACCGTATGTACCTGTTCCCGACTTAGCTCCAAATTCGACCTAAAGATAGACTTAGGAATGCATCTCATTTGTAACGTGGGGACTGCCTGTATATACGTAATTGCTTTTATTTGATTAAATATCTATGAAATGATACATAAGAAACTGAAAACATTTGTGATCTCTAGGGAGAGGAACTAAGGTAGCTGGGGATGAATGGAAGGAACACTTTAAATTTTGAACCATGTGAATAGAGGAACTATTTGAAATATAATTAAGAAAAAAGTAGGGGTGGCCAACAGTCAGATGTCCCAGAAAAAAGATGGTAAGAATGAGGCCTGAAAATTATTGCCGTCCCATTTAGCAATTAAGGTCGGTACTGATCATAGCAAGAGTGATTTCCATACAGTGAGAGACAGAAACAAGATGATAATGATTGAGAAAAAAATATTCAGTACTCTCAAGAAGCTTGGTGAAATTTACAGTTCATTTATTGGGCAAAAACATAATTTTTCCCTAGCAATCCACAAATTATTTTTGGTTTATTATAATATTTAGTGCAGGTGACAGCCATATTGAAAGTATAATTTTGGACAAAGTTTTTGGTCAGCACTTTGGCTAAATTCATCAAAAGCCTTAAAATGTACATCTCTTTGATCCTTAAATCATATTAGTCAATTCTAAAGAAATATGAGATTTGGGCAAGTATGTATGTATTTTGTATGAACAAAGATTTTCATCAAAACATAATACTGAAAATTTGGAAATGACTTAAATGTCCAACAGTAAGGAAATAGTTATGAAATTAAGGTTTCCTCATATAATGTAATACTATATAACAGTTAAAAATCATGTCCTCAGTTTGTTCTCAATTTAATTGTAAAAATTAAAAAAAAAATTGTCACTTTAACCATTTTTAAGTGTACAGTAATTACATTCACCATGTTGTTCAACCATCACCACTATCTAGTTCCAAAAGGTTTTTATCAACCCCAACAGAAACTCAGTACCCCTTAAGCAATAACTCCTCATTCCGCCATCTTCCTGATAACCAGAAATAAACTTTGTCTGTGTATTCTAGACATCTAAGTGGGGTCATACAATATTTGTCCGTTTGTGATTTATTTGAGTTAGTGTGGTGTTTTCAGGGTTCATCCATGTCATAGCATGTATCAACTTCATTTCTCTTTATGGCTGAATAATATTCCATTGTATGAATGTACCACATTTTGTTTATCCATCTGTAGATGGACACTTGGGTTGTTTTTGCTATTTTGAGTAATGCTGCAGTGAACATGGTGTACAAGCATCTGTTTAAGTTTCAAGTCTTTTGGGTATATACATAGAAGTGGAATTGCTGGGTCAGAAATTTTTAATGACATGGAATAATGTTCAATGAATAATAATTTTTAAAAACTAAGAAATAAAAATATATAAAATGTGATCCCAGTTTTGCATAACATGTATTCATAAGAGAAAGGAAATTTCTTGACCAAAATATCACCAGCTGTTATTTCTAGGTTATAGAAGTACAGCTGATACAGGTTTTTTTAAATCAGTTTACGTTACTTTTACAATTAAGGAAATAGGCCTTTTTTTTTTCTTTATAGAGCACATGATGCTCATTTATATCATGAATATGTATTTTTTTTGTTTTTTTTAATTGTACTTTAGATGAAGGTTTACAGAACAAACTAGCTTCTCATTAAACAGTTAATACACATATTGTTTTATGACATTGGTTAACAACCCCACAACATGTCAACACTCTCCCTTCTCAACCTTCGTTCCCTATTACCAGCTTTCCTGTCCCCTCCCACCTTCTAGTCCTTGCCTCTGGGCTGGTGTGCCCCTTTAGTCTTGTTTTGTTTTATGGGCCTGTCTAATCTTTGGCTGAAGGGTGACCCTCAGGTGTGACTTCATTACTGAGCTAAAAGGGTGTCCAGGGGCCATACTCTCGGGGTTTTTCCAGTCTCTGTCAAGCCAGTAAGTCTGGTCTTTTCTTGTGAGAATTTTGTTCTACATTTTTCTCCAGCTCTGTGTGGGACCCTCTATTGTGATCCCTGTCAGAGCAGTCAGTGGTGGTAGCCGGGCACCATCTAGTTATACCAGACTCAGTCTTGTGGAGGCCTTGGTAGATGTGGTCCATTAATCCTTTGGATTAATCTTTCCCTTGTGTCTTTAGTTTTCTTCATTCTCCCTTCCTCCCAAAGGGGTGAGACCAGTGGAAGTATCTTAGATGGCTGCTCACAGGCTTTTAAGACCCCAGCCACTACTCACCAAAGTAGAATGTAGAACATTTTTTTTATAAACTATGTTATGCCAGTTGAGCTAGATGTTCCCTGAGACCATGGTCCCCACATCCTAGGCTTCTTTATTATCTCTTGCTTCACTAGTTGGCTAACTTTTTATAACAATTTTAAATAATGAAACAGTTTTTATCACTTAAGTTATCTCTTTGTACAGGACAACGAAGACCCATAATGTGCTAATCCTGAACAAGGCTTATTCACTTGCCATGCAGCAAACCAACTTTTCAGTATTTATGATTCAAATAAATATCTTAATAGATTCACACATTTACAGATTTCTACATGTTAACCTTTAAGGTTGCTCCCAAATAGTCATAAAGGAAAGAGGATAATTGATCATATAAGATCTTGGAGCCAAGGAGGAGGACAGGAATTGGTGTTCAATGGGATTTGCTCCTAGAATCAGGACTAGGAATTGTAGGGGTGGAGAATTGAGAAAAACCATTTAGGTTGGTTTCAGTTTTCCTCTGTAAATTATTAATCAAGTCTGTTTGCTAAGAATGAGGGAAGAGACAAGGTAGGAGACATGAAAAAATCACTGTAGTTAGTATGAGAAATACAAGAAGGAAGTAACTGTAAAAATAAAAGGCTTTCTGAGCTGAACTGATAAGTTAATTGAGGGTTTTCATCATCTGGCATATCCTTTAAGTGATCAACTGTGAGATCCAGTCTAGAAAGGAAAGAATATAAAGACATAAAGTGAGAGGTGTAGCAAAGGGAGTTCAGGTGCAAGACGTCTCAGCAGGAGTTTTGGAAAAGACGCAGCAAGATGGAGATTGGAGAGAGCATAAATGAGACAATGAACAATAAGCAAAAAATAAACTATAATTTCCTGAAATATTATTATTCAGTGTTTCCTTGAAAACATTTGATTGAAGCATTCTGTCCGCCTCTATAGCCACACCATTGCCTTTTTAAAAACAGAAAATAAGATGTACTTTTTTTAGACTGAAACACATTTTAAATTTTGTCAGTTGCTATTCAACCTGTGGATAAAAAGTATGATAGCTAATATTGCCTTGAAATCATTTTGTATTCAAACAGGGATGATTGTGATAAATATGTTTTTCATATGCAAAAAAAACATAAAAACAATGGTGGTATTGTCTGGGGCAATGTCAAGAAAAAAACAGTAAGTATTTTTATTCTTAATCCATTTATTCAACACATATTTACTTAACAATAATATATAACAAATTGTAGGAGTTAAAAGTTATAATCCATGCCTTCAAGGTGCTTACAGTCTAATACAAGTAAATTATAATACAAGGTCATAGGTATTAATGTAGGTAACTACATAAGTACTGTCTGATTAGAGCAGGAGGAACGAGGTTCTAATGGCAGCTCAGAAGGCAGCATTTGAGCAAGATGAGAGTAAGTAAAAATTTTCATTGGGGGAGTCGGGTAAGGAGGGAAAAAATAGATACAGGTCAGGAAAGGACATTTCAGGCAAGACACAGAAGCATAATATCTGTTCAATGATTGGGGAATACTCCAGGCTAATAGTCATAGTTTTCACAGTATAAGAAGTTTAATTAAATTCCATGCAGAATTAAAATGGTTGGAAATGTTTTTCAGATTCAACACTTAATTTTTTTTTTTACATTCCAACATTTAAAATCCGATTAACTCAAAGGTGTCTTAGTAGTGATCTATATCCCTTCAAGAAAATATCCTCTTGAATTTTTTAAATTTTGTTTCTGATTTTAATTTGAATAACCGATATCCTGATAAGAGTGCTAGGATTCTGGAAAAGTTTATTCACTTCAAATTTCCTATAAAGTAAATAAATAACCATAGAGAATGATAATTTAACTACTATACCCCCCTCTTAGAATGGTACTCTTTAAAACCAGATTCTGGCTTCTCTTCCTCCCTCACCCACTCTAAAATACTTACACTGCAAACTGGCCAGAGTATAATTCCTCACAAGAGAGTCTCTAAACATTGGGATTACTTAATCACATCCAGTCTTTATGGGGTTCACTTGTCTACAGAGAATGGTAGATACATCTGAAGGCCTTAGTTTAAAATCTGTCTGGGGACTAAATTCTTCAAAACAAATCTGTACTCATATTGAAGTAGCAGGCAAACTCCCTCTCAGTGTTTCTTAAAATTCCCCTTTTACAGTCCCACATTACTTATGAGAATGAAATTTTGGTCAGTTGTAAAGGACCTGGAAACATCTTAATTTAGTGAGAAAGCCTTGGATAGGAGTCCAAAGACTTGAGTTCTAGCTCCTGTTTTGCCAGTAAGAAGCTGGGTTGCCTTGACAAGTCTCCTTAAATTCCATGCAGGAATTTAAGTGCTTCTCAAACTTTAATGTGGTTTGATGTCATCTGGGTATCTTATTAAAACCCAGATTCCAATCCAGTAGCTCTGAGATACTGCATTTTTAACAAGCTCAAGATGATGTCCATGCTTCTGAGCCATGAACCACACTGAATAGCAAGACCTCAATCCATTGAGTCTGTTCACTGTGAAATGAGAAGACGTTCATATGGAATATCTATAAGAGCCCTTCCTATTAACTTTTATTTCTCTCTATTTCTGGGGTCATCTTAACTACTTCTGGGCATTTGTTTTTCTTAATGGGTTATAATTTGAGCATTCTACCAAACTTTAGTATCTTTGTGCTTTAGCCCCATATTTTTTCATAGCCTAATATTTTGGAGCCAGTGTGTTATAATGGAAAGAGCAAAGGGTTTACACAAACAGCGCACACCTACATTTGTTTACTAATTGTTCCCTTACCCTGCGAGGTATTTTTGTAAGCCCGCTATGCCAATTTTTTTTTTTTAAACATGTTGCTGTAAAAAAAATTTAGCATAGTGGGCTTACAAAAATATTTTGGCAAACAAATGTGGAAGATGTGTATTATTTGTGTAAAATGCATCCTTAGTGTTAAAAGTTGTTACTTGAACGTCTGACTCCCCACACTAGCTTTGTGGTACTGGGCAGGCTCCTTGAGGTTTCTAATCTCATTTTATCCATATGTGGTATGGCAATGGGGATGATGATGACATTGGTTTATCTCACTGAATCATTTTGAGGGTTAAATGATACACTGCAGTGTAAAAAAATACATTTTATATCACAAGCTGTAAGCATCTCAAACAAAAGTTTCTTGCAACAATACTTAGCATAGGGGATATACTTTGTCATATTTTCTGTTCTATTCATTTCATTTTTTAAAATTGCAAGCCATGACCAATAGTTTGAAAAACACTGATATCAGCATCCATAATACAGTTAAAACTTGCCACATACATTTCCATTTTAACAAGAATTTGAAGTACAAAGAATTGAAAATTTGCTAGGCATGTTTTTCAAATGCAGATTTTTACCTACAGTCAGTAATTATGATTGTAAATAATCATGATAAATTATTTGTTTATATTTTGACTTGTTTGCTAGCCAGTGTATTAATTATTTAAATGAAATAAATAGTACATTTTGGCAGCTTTCAGACGCCCATAGACTATCCTTTAACCACTGTAGCATTCATATGTCATGGTTTCTTATACTCATGTTTGCCAGCAGTGGGCAACAACACTGAGTAAGTCATGGTTCTTGCTCTAGATAAAAGAGAATTAGACATTTCACAGAAAACTATAATGTGATAAGATGTTGTTACAGGCATATGTTCAAAGTACTCTGGGGATAAAGCATGCTTAACTTTGTCTAGGTTTGGGACAGGCTTCACAAGACCTACCATTTAGCTATTAATATGACTATGAACTCTCTTGTAGGTTGAAACTGATTTTTCAACCCCAACATCAAGAAGAAAAACCTCACTTAGCAAAGGTAATATATATATATATTTTATAAAACTCAGTTCTGTTATCCAGGTGGTACTAAAATTAATTGCTCTCAAGTAGACATACCTACCATTTGGTTTCTTATACTTGTTTTCAATTTCATTGAACATAGTTTAAAAAATGTATTAACCCTTTTTATTAAACTTCTCTTTGCAGATTTAGAAGATAACTGTAGTATTGGGAAACTTTTCACAAATGCTATGGAATCTTTAGATGAAGAGGAGAAAGATTACTATTTTTCCAACTCTGACTCTGCATAGTAAAAATGAGAACATATCATTTCTCGGACTTTTATTGTAGACATTGTATCTTCATTTGGAGTACATGTATTTTCTTTGTAATATGGTAGATTTATATGGAAAAATGTAGACTCATTTTCAAAGATTTCAGGTGTTTGTATTCAAAGTAAAATTTTCCTGTATAGAATATTTCTCATTGTTGCATCTTACTAAAAATGTAAGGAAAATTGTTTTGTTTGTATAGCTATTTGTAAATTGCTGTTTTTGTGAGATTAAAACTAATATACATAAGTCTTTTAGAAGCATGTTAAGTCTGTTTACCTAGGAAAATTATGTTCCAAACAATTTTTTTTAATGTTGCTATTGTTAAGCAAGGGGAGATGACAGATATTGTTCTGGTGGCTACTGAGTTCATGAAAACTTTAAATTAGCATTTGTCACTACTTGGTATACAAGCCCAGAGTTGATCTAATGTTTAAAATTGCACATTGAAACTATTTAACATACTTCTCTCCTGAAACCTATGTAATTTTAATTTATTCCTTTTTCGGCATTTAAGATAGATAGAATCAGAGAACATATTTTGTTGCTTTCTTGAAGTTTATTTACATATGCAGACATAGTCAAAAAAAACTAGATTAAACAAACATTCAATTAATAGATGCATCGATGGAAGAAATCAGGTGAACATGTTATGTCATAGCAAGCATCCTTTTCCTTTCACTGACAGCTCCTTTAAAAATAAATTTTTTGAGCGCACTTCTTTTAGCTTATTCTGCTGTTATGTTTTAAAATTTGACAAAGTATTTTTTCCTCAGGTTACAGTACATATTCACCTACCCCTTCTCTTCAGTTAGATTGTTCAAATAAAGTTAGTTGCTTTTATAATATTAATTTTTTGTTGTCTGTTAAACTACTGGATCATAGAAAGAACACAAATATGTATTTTGTTACTGGCCCAATTTAAGTTTGCTTTAAAAATATCTGAAATTTTAGCAGAAAATAACAATTTCTTGTTTCTTAAGACATCAGTAATAATCAGTTATAGGATTTATAGAAGCACAAGATTAAAGAAGAATAGTGCAATTGGACCAAGATCATTCTCCTTTAAACTATGATTGCTTCTACCACAGACAGGGTAGATGTAGGTGGAACAAATGAAAGGTTTATTTCAGGTGGCTCTATTAAATAGTGTAAAGCTTGAGTTGCCAATATTAAGTATAGTACTATGCTGCCTGAAGTTAGTGGATAGTGGTTTGAGTTAAGAAGGTGGTTAGATCCCATAATGAGAAATAAAAAGATAAATTTGAAAAGACATGGACTTGATGCAATCCAAAAGTTTGATCCCTAGCCACCATATTCCTGTGTCCTATCAGAACTCCTTCAGCATCCTTCTTGTTCTATACTACTGCATCCCACCTGCCTGGTACCTGGTTTTCATCCCATTCTTTCCAAAGATAAGCTAGAATAATTGTTTAAGGCAATTTCCAAAGAACACTTAGAAGTGGAAAAGAAAGACTTCAAGGACTCAAGGAGTGAAATGATAAAGATGGACTGATTAACAGGGTTAACAATGAAGATATAGAAGGAGGAAACTGCAGGCCTAAATATGGATAGTGTTTTCCACATAGCAAGCATAAATCAATGAAATCCTCTCGGTTATGTCCCTCACACCATGTTAACTTACATAATATTTCTCTGCTTGGTGGACACAAAGAGGGAGTCAGAGTACATGGCATCTGCATGGGAGGTCCTGCAAGGTGGTCACCCTACCTAGGCCAGTGCAAGGTTGCCGAGGGACTGTGCTCCCTGTGTTCAGCTGGGGCAGAGCACCACCATCTGTTCCCACCCACGTGCACTGCTGACAGACTATGCAACAGGAACAAGAAGCAGCAGAATGCAGCACACCAGAACCAGAAGAGAAGCCCCTTTTCCTACTGACAAAACTTAGTATCATGTGTACTATAAAGGAGGAATGCTTAAAAAGTCCAACCTATGATAGCAGAGCAGGTACTAAAGGGGGAATTTTCATCTGAGAGGTAATTAACTGATAGCTGCACACTGGCCAATAACAGCTTCTTTTCTTTCTGGCTTTGACAGAATTGGACAACAGATATATGAGATCAGATGGTTTCAGAAGAATTGAGAGTTTATTCTATCTGTAAGGGGCCAAGTTCACAATTAGAGTAACTTTTTTTTGTCCCTCTGTATCACTATAAGAGAGTGAAAAAGAGAACTGTATCTAGTACCTGGGTTCTGGTTCTAGATTTGTCAGTCTAAACTTGAATCAGTTACTTGTTGCTGGCCTCACTTTCATCATCTGAGTAGAAAGGAAAAAAAAAGCGATTTAAATTAGATGAGCTCTGAAGTCCACACAAGGTCTAAGTTGAGGAAAGCTCTCTGCTATGAGGTTGGTTCAACTACCCCACATTAAAACAAAAGAAGAAATAAGGCAACCAGAGAATAAAGGGCTAAAACTGGAGGAGTAGGGGGGTGTTCATAATTAAAGGCTGCTGTAGCACTAGACAGACTAGAAAGAAGAGCCTCAGATGTTTCAGATATAAACATGGAGCCATCTTAAAATACTAATAGCAGTACCACAAACACAAATTAATGGGTGAAAATAAAAGTCCACATTCAATAGCTCATCTGTATACTATTTCCAAGTCTAAGTTGACACACTGATTCTTTGAATATGATATTTCAACAGCATAAGAAAAACCTTGGAGTTCATATTAATAGGGATTGACTATATTTAACTGGGACACCTTTGGCAAGGTATTCAATTTTCTACTTTACTAGTTACTGGGGCATTTATCTCACAACTGACCCAATCTTAACCTAATACGTATTTAGACTCAGTACATTTAAAATAGTCTACATATTATAATTTATAAATAGAAGAAATTGTTAATGACCATTAAGTTGGGAGAAATCATAGACACATCAACCTATTATGCTAACGAATGACAATAGTGCATTAATCGTTGGAAAATTTTGAAAATATATCTCTTTAGCTTTTACTTTCTTGAACTGAATAGCACTTTCTATTCAATAAAAAAATTTGTTTCATAATATAGTTAATAGCAAATGATCATTACTGTACATCAGAGATGGTTCTCTTTAATAATTTAAATAATCTATATAAATAAAAATGTACAATATAAAAAATACCTTCAAGAGATAAGGAAATATTCTCTTATTTACATATTTTAACTGATGGTCATCAACTACAGCAATGCTTACTGAAGTGCACTCAGTATTGTGAGAGTTCTTTGATCACTGCGTCTTGAGCAGTGTGATCATGCATCAGGCTTCAGTCTGCATTGGTTAAGACTGTCTGGTAACATTTGCATGTCAAATACATAGTGAATATAGCCATAGATTTCCTCAGCCTTTTGATGAGTCACTTGTGCACACATGGAAATTTCTTGAGGTGAGCTGAAAAATAAATTGGACAAAGAAAAACAGTACAGTAAAACTTTGACTTGTATACAATTTGCTCATCTTGCTTATGAACACCAGACACAAAAGCCTTCAGCCAGAGAAAATCGTTTTCTGCCTAAGCATTCTAAATCCAGATGATCTGTCTTTAGGATTATTTTAAATAAAAACTTATTTGTTCCCTTTATTTAAAATCATATGCAATAACCACAACTCCAACATCTTATATGGGCCTTTGGTTTAATTAAAATGAACTATTTTCTAAAATCTTCCTTTTCCAAGCATTATAATTATCAAAAATTAGTAACATTCTTAAAATTTTTCTAGGTATGGAACTGAACAGCTCAGAAATGTTAGAATGTAAGGTCAAATATAAGTGCTGTTTTGTGTTCATCTCCTCATAGGGCTCTAAGCTCCTCAAAGGCAATGCCTATCTTTTTTCTTTCTTTCTTATTTTTTTTCCATTAATGTCCTCAGCTTCATGCAGTGACTGATACATGCTGGCAGGCAAAAATATTGACTGAATGAAATAAACTAACAAACACTATCCTTCTTTTTTGAAAAACTTAAATTTCGCATGGAATGCTTCTATGAATCATTTAAAAGTAACAATTTACAAATATTCATTATTAAAACAGACATACCTGTTAGCCATTTTTTTCACAGATGAAAACTGGTGGCACATATTTAACGCAGTTATATAACTTATATTGGGAATACTTAGATAAAACTGAAGTGCATTCCATTTACTACCGTTCACTACTGTTGGAACATGAATACCAACATTCTTTCTTTGTTCCACTAAAGACAGTTCCTTTAGCAAATCTGCGGTTTCTTCTTGGCAGGAACTGAAAAGAATTCGGATTCCAGCACTAATTAAGGCAGTCAGCAGGCTGTCATAGCTCTTTGTTCTCCTAAACATCTTCAAGGTGTCTCCTAAATATTTCATAATCAGGAAAATGCAAACTTTAGTAACTAATATTAAGTAGAGTTGTTAATATACTTTATATTATTAAAATCCCAAGATCTACACTATTGAGTCAATCAGTGCCATGTTATGGTACATGAGAAACCCCACAGCTAAAGTTCTAAACAAATTCTCAAACATATGAGAAAACAGGGAGAACTGTCTTTGAGTATCTTGAACAGCAATCAACACAGGAAGATGAAGAGGCAGGAGAGAGTTCGTATTTCCAGATAATTCATTCCTGAGGCCACAACCATACTATTCATCTCTAATTCCTTATAATACTAACACAGAAGGGACTTGTTAAGTTGAACTCCTATAGAAAGTATCTTATGTATTTATTCCAAAGAGTTATTCAACAAATATCTTACACACTCATTTTAATCTGTCATCTCTGATTCTTGCTTATTAATTTACTTCCTTACCTTTCCTGGTCATTTTTTTCCTCCATAGCCTACCTATATCATCATTATGACAAAAAAAAAAAAAAAAAAAATCTTATCCTCAACTTTTGACCTGTTACTTTCCTCTTTATTCTGAATTAATTTCCCTTATAAACGCTAGATTGGCAAAGAGGATGTTACAGAATTTTAGCACAGGGAGGTCACCTAATCAAAAGCCCTCACTTTTCAGATTAAAAAGAAAAAAACAAAAACAAAACTGAGTTAACTGTTCAAAACTGAACTCTCCTTACCTCTCAAAATCTGCTGCTTCTCTTAAATTCAAAATTGAATAAATGGCACCTCTACCTACCTGCCTAGTCACCCAAGTAACAAAAAAGTCAACTCAGAGTAATTTTCGACTCCTCCCACCAATGCCTGTTAATCCTGCCTCCTAAATAGCTCCTGAATCCTACACCTCTTCACCAACTGCTGCCTTATTGAAGACCCTCATCCATTCTGGGGCTTCTGAAAAAGTCTTATGATTGGTCCACTTGCCTTCAATTTTTTACCCTTTAATTCTCATCTTATAAGCTGTGTTTAAACACACTGACTAATGAAAAACATTATGGAATTATGTAAACATTCACAAATCAAGTATTTATTTTACGAGCTTCCTACATCCTTACAGCAGAAGAATAAATAATAGTCAAGTTCATTTATAGTCTTATAAACAAAACGTTTTTAAATACAAACCTGTTTTTTCTCTGTCCTTTTCCACAATCATACATATTCTTTCAAACATGCTCTGCAGGTGCTGAATCTGCTCAATGAGCTTGTTCTTATTGATACTATTTAACATCTCAGATTGAGACCTCCTTTCCACCACCATGCGATTACTCACTATGTAATCACAACCATTAAGAGGACAAACCTCTACTTCTAAGCCATGAATTGCTCTTAGGGAAGAAATTACTTCTGCACCTGAAGTGATTTCACGACTATCTACAAGAATACGGGTTCTTTTTCCTTCCTGTGGAAGTCTAAGAGAAGTATGTATCCCAGTCAAATGCGGTCTTGAATCGGAACAATACGCCACTGAAGTGCTAGAATCCTCCAGAGTGCTACCAACCTGTAAAAGTAGAAAACATCGATCACAATCAGGTTAAATACATACTAACACCATAAACTTCTCCCATCTGAAGCTGACTCTCCTTACTGGTAGATGATGGTCTTTTTCTCCCTCAACATGACAACAGTGACTACAGGTAAAAGAAAGCTACCACTCTGATGACTCAAAAAAATTGAAGCTTTAGCTAATAATAGAAAGATGTGAAGAAATGGGAGAAAAATGTAAAAATGAACAGGAGAGGAAGTAAGTACTTAAAAAGGAAAATTATGAGTCCTAATTTTCAGCCTAGAGAAAAAACAAATGAACAGATGGTTAAACAATCTTAAAACAGAGTAGAGTTGATGTTGAAAAATTAAGTGAATACCTAAGATATTATTGACAAATAACTGGAAGATTAAATAACCAGAATGTCCCTCCAGCTGAAAAGAGCTAAAACCACTAAATAACATGTTTTTTAAAAAATATTTTAAAATGCATAACTGGATTGACAAAAAAGTAAGGAATCCACAGAGATTTAAAAAAAAAACCAGAATCCTAGAAGTTAGGCAAGCACAAACCCAGGTTTCCTCTGCAAAGTATCTGCCAAATCCTGTTGACCATGAGCTCTGCTTTTGAGAGAAGCACTGGGCATAGGAAACATGCAAAGTGCTGGAACTCCCATCCCCTGCCAAAAAAAGGACAAGCAAGAAATAAATCTATTCCACAGAAGCAGAAAGCAAAAAACACTTCTCAAATTAGATACCAGGTAAACAAACAAACCTGTTGCCACCTAGTCAATTCTGACTCAGAGATACCTTACAGGACAGAACAGAACTGCCCCATAGGGTTTCCAAGGAGCGGGTGGTGGATTCAAGCTACTGACCTTTTGGTTAGCAGCAGAGCTCTTAACCACTGTGCTACCAGGGCTCCGCAGATACTAGGTTAAGGGAGAAAAATCCTTTCAGAATTTGTATCTAACAACTGGCCCTCCAGCCCTCATGTGGGTTTGCAGACAGAAATACATGATACCTGTGCAATCCACAAAACCTCAAATAATTTAAAAATGCTTTCAAAAAGGAAATGTAAAGACTAAACTGTACAAAAAGATGTTTTCAATTTTGCTAGGATAAGAAAAATGCAAAGGGAAACCATACCTAGACACCATTTTTCACTACACAGAGTGGCAACATTCTCTGTTGATGAGGTTCTGGGGAAAATCAGGGCATTCTCATACATTGCTGGTGGGAATAAAAAATGATACAGCCCCTATGGAGGGGTAGTTGGCAACATCTGGCAGCAATGCATATATACATTTACCCTTTTACCCAGCAATCCCACTTCAAAGGGACCATCCCAAAGCTACAGTGTCAAAATACATTAAGAGATGCACATGGCTATTTGTTGTAAGACTATAAGAACAAAAGACTAGAAACAACCCAAATATCCATCAATGTGGAACTGTTGAATAAACTATGATATAGCTACACAGTGAAGAACTATGCAGCTATAAAAAGTAATAAGGAATATATATCTATATACTACTATGGAGTGGGAGCCCTGGTGGCACAGTGGTTAAGAGCTCAGCTGCTAACCAAAACGTCGGCAGTTCAAGTCCACAAGATGGTCTTTGGAAACTCCATGGGGCAGTTCTTCTCTGCCTTTTAGAGTGGTTATGAGTCACAATTGACTTGACAGCAACAGATTTTGGACTATGGAGTGAACCCCAGGATATATTCTTAAGTAAAAAAAGCATGGTAAAGAAAAGTTTATTTATTTAAGGGAGGATCATAAATATAAATGTATTTAATTATATATTTCAAAAAATGTTTTAAACAAATTTTTTGAATTATTACCTTTGTGAGAGAGGGAACAGAGTGAAGGGGGCAAAAATAGACATCTTTGAATATATTTTATGTATTTTAATATGGAGTCATGTAAATATGTTACATAATTACAAAATAAAATTAATTTGAAAAGAATTTCTAAAAATAAAAAATTAAAACAAATTAACCTGACTATGTATCCAGTTATAGGCATAACCAGAAAGAAGTCAAGTAATTTGACTGTACATCCTGTGGGATGTGCCTTAAAGACAAAAAGAACTGCCACAAAAATATCTTAAACAGTTTAAACCGTTTTCATAATCATACTGTTGATTATAACAATGGTACTGTTATTCTGAAACTGATATGTGATTTTCTGGATAAAATAAATTATGTAATATTCTAATTATATTATTCACTATATTATTGATGTGGGAGAAAGGAGATACAAATATAAGATTAAAGTGGTAAAGTGAAAACCCTGTATTACTGAATTTGAAATATCAAAATGAACTCATGATGTATTTTATCTTTAATGAGTGTGGGTGTGTGTGTGTGTGTGTGTGCACGCGCGCGTATCTGTAAAAGAGAGAAAGAGAAATGTTTCCTTGCTCTGACCACTGAAAAAGCCTAGAAACAACAACCAAACCAGTATCAAAGAGCACCAAAACACATTTCCCACTAAAAGGAACCAGGGCAACTTGGAGAAATAGATGCCTCCTGGTGCAGGGTAAGGAATGTTCAAGATAAGCCTGGTGTATCTTATCATACTGTACAACAAAGACAGTGAGCGCTCTCAGCACTCAGAATGTAGACTCCAAATACCATTTCCCACTAAAAGGAACTAAGGTAACTTGGAGAAATGGCTGCTTCCAGGACTGAGACAGGAAATGCGTAAACAAGCCTGGCACATCTTATGACACTATACAGCAAAAAAGCTATCAAAGACTATGAGGTCATGTCAAAAGCACTTAGGAGCCACCTTGAAAAGGGTCTCACTGACAAAATTAGGGACAACTTGAACATTAAAAAAAAAAACTGTAATTGGATGAAAAACAACGCTATGTTTACATTCACGAGTTCATTATGTTAAACAAACAAACAACTGTTAGAGGATGCTAGTAAATAAAATCATCATTTTAAAACAAATAAAGAGAAATAACCAAGTATTCATCCTGCTTTTCCTATACAAATTGTACTACTGGGTGACCATATAGTAGATGAGGGGAAGTTTCTTTTTATAAAAGGATTCCACCTTATAAAAGGAGAAAAAATGATAAAATTAGAATATTATCATATGAAAACCTTCATGAATTAATGGATCACTGCTTTAAAATTAACAACTTCTAGCATTACAAAAAGATAGTCAACCAGACTATACGCCTCCTGATGGAGAAATATACCATGAAGTAGTCTTGCAAAACAAAACAACAACGTTAAAAAATACTGAATATAATTAAGCCTCTACACAAAACACCACCGCAGAAATGCAATCAGCAAAATCCAGGCGGTGGAAAACCTAAAGGGATAAAACGTATGGTTTGTAAAAAGGTATAAATGGCAAGAGAATTTTTAAAAAAAGATATGGTTGAGGGACTCCTACAAACTCACTGTTGTTGTTAGGTGCCGTCTAGTCGATTTCAACTCATAGTGACCCCATGTGACAAAGTAGAACTGTCCTGTAGGGTTTTCTAGGATGTAATCTTTATAGGAGCAGATCACTAGGTCTTTCTCCTGTAGGGCTGCTGGGTGGGTTGGAACTGCCAGCCTTTTGGTTAGCAGCCAAGTGCTTAACCATCGCACCTTCTAGATACCAACAATAAACTCTCAGAAAATGCAATTTCCATGAAACACAGCAAAATTCTAAAATAATGGTAATGATCTATCTCATATGCTGAGTTAATTTTTACTACCTTAACGAAGATTAGCTATAATCTTTAATTTACCCTTTACTTTTGAAAGATATTTTTCACTGGGTACAGAATTCAGGGTTAACAGTTTTTTCTTTCATTACTTTACAGATGTTGTTCCACTCCTCTGATGAGATGTCTGCTGTAATTCTTATCTTTGCTGTGTATGTAATGTCTTTTTTCTCTGACTGCCTTCAAGATTTTCTCTTTATCTTTGGTTTTCAGCAGTCAGCTCTTGGAATAAGTTTGTTTGGTATCTTTCATTAATTTTCAAAATTCTCAGCCATTATCTGTTCAAATATTTCTTTTGCCCTATTCTTGCTCCTCCTTAATTCCAGTTACACGTTAGACTGTTGGATACGCTCTCACAGTTGCCAGATCCTCTGCTTTGTTTTCTCGCTCTTTGTGTTTCAGACTGGGTATTGACCTAACTTCAAGTCTGTTAGTTGTTTCCTTGGCTGTGTTGAGTCTACTGATAAGCCTACTGAAAGCATTCATCTCTCTCTTTACCTCTCTTAATGCTATTTCTAGCATTTCCACTTGGTTCTTTTTTATATTTTCCATCTCTCTGATAAAGTCCTCATTTGTTCATTTATGTTTGTCTAACTTTTCCACTACAGCCTTTAATATACTAATCATAGTTATTTTAAATTTCCTGTCTGTTGATTCCAACATCTGAGTCATATCTCAGTCTGGTTCTTGAAAGTGTGTAGTTTTTTTGTTTTTGTTTTTCCTTGCGTTTGTGTGTCTCATAATTTTTGGTTGAAAGCCAAACATCTTATGTGAGACAGTAGTAATTGAGGCAAATATTTATGCCCAGAAATAGATACGTCTTTTCTTTTGTTAGGTCTCTAATGTGTTGGGTTGAATCAATCTATTCAAAAGTTGAGTTGGGTTTGGTCTTTGTTATTGCTATGATTACTCTAGATACACTAGAGACTTCAAATTCCTCTAGTGTTACTTTGTATTTAGGATAGAGACTGGGTTACCAGATGATTTTTTAAATCTTCCCTCAACTTGAGGCCTTCCCTGTGACCCTGCACCTCAGAGAGATTCTCTCCCATGCTCTTGTTCTTTCCCTCCCCTAGCAGTAGATGGTTGTTATTTATTACTCTGCTTGCTAGCCTGGTGGGAGGGAGTGCTGTGGTTGGAGGACGGGAGAGTCTTTTTCTGTTGTCCTGGTCCAGCCTCAGTCTTGGGCAGGACTTGTGTGTCCTTGGGTCTCTGACGTGGGTCTTTCTCAGAGATTCTGCTCTCCTCCTACCCCCAGTGATGGGGGTGGGGGATGGGGGCAGGGGGCAGGGATCTCTACTGGTCTGAGCCCAAGATGTTTCCCTGCCTATCCCTCAAGTATGAAGGGTATTTTCCTTCTACCCTTCCCTCATCTGCAAAGGGTCTTCACCTATGCCCTGAAGGTTACAAAGTTTGCTGTTTTTTCCTCGGCCAATTAAGGCTTTTGCTCTGTAAGGGAGATAAGGCAGGAGGAACTAGATAGCGCTTGGTGCCTTTTCCACAGTAGCTGCTGGTCCCTTACCCCAGGCCTACACCAGGAAGGAGGCTTTCTCTGATCCTCAGTCTTTCTTGTGAGCAGCTAATGAATCTGTGAAGAAAAGCCCATGGGTGGTTGTGAATTCCTCTTGTGTCTGAAGCTCCTAGGGGTTCTAGGGGTTCTTTCCCACTAGTCCATTGTCTTTTGCAATTCACTAAAGTTTTAGCTGAATTCTTTTTACCAGATTGTATGGTGCCCAGTAATTGATCCAGATCGGCAAGTCACTCATTGGAAGCACCTATCACTCCTTAGCTATCAGGCTAATAAGTTGCCCTACAACTTCAGCTTTGTAACAGTTTCAAGAAAAGTTATAATTTTGTATATTACCTGGCTTTTTCTTTCCAGCTTTCCACATCCTAAAGACGGGAGTCCTAATTACTCAGAAATAATTTTTAAAATATATTCAATCTTTAATTTCAAAAACATAGAAGAATAAATATAAGGAGGGAAGAAATGGACACTAGATAACCAAAGAACATACCAGAAATATTTAGTAATAGTCTCAGAGTACAGAATGGCTTTCAAAACATGATACTGAAGTCAGAAACTATAAAGAAAATAATTGGGACTGCATAAAAAAGTTATATTTTCATAAGGCAAAACCACCACAAACAAACAAAAAGGAATGACAGACAAAGAAAACTGTTTGCAACATAAACGGCAAAACAAGTGTGAATATTTTTAATATCTTGACAGGATATTTAGTCTATTTTCTGTACGTTCAAATCTACCTTAAATTCTTTCCTCACCTAATATAAAGTGTGAATCATACTATATGGAATTATAGTATTAGATAATTGAATAAAATTTAAGATATATTTCAGTTAAAATCTATTTATGCTTTTTCACAGTCCTCAAAGTATTACCAGCCTATATCTATTTGTAGTTAGAGCATGCCAAAGTAGAAGTACTCTTTAAAATAAGAGTGCTTATTGGTTTTCAAAGTATTCTGCACATATTACCTAACTTAATCCTTGGGATTATTATCTTTACACTACAGATGAGAATACTGAGGCTCGGAGAAATTAAGTACTTTCTTGTTTTCCAATCTATTATAAAGATTTAATCTAGTCAACTTTAAGAAATAACTTCGTGCAAAAAAAAGGCTGTGGATAATTTAGAACCAGAAACACCAATTTGAAGAAGTTCATTGTGTGGACACTGTAGACAATGTTACCAAGGCAGAGTGCACTGAAATACACTCGGAATAAAAGAGAACTAGAGGTCTATGTTTGGGTCTCACTCCTGGATGAGGTAATGAATCAATATTTACAGTTAAGGGATTCCTATTACTATGACTTTAATTAACCCCTATTTTAGCAAAATTACTGGAACTATAAATTCCTAAAAACTGAAAAGGGGTTTTAGTGATTCTTTCAGCAATAGCAAAATAAGGAAAAGCAGGAAACTGGACTAGTTAGCAGCCACTCTGGAAAGAGAAACTTAAAGAGAACTAGTTGGTATACCTCCCATTCCACCCTTTTTTCCCAGTAATGAGATTAGTGAGTTACTTACCTGGAAGGCTTTACGGAAGGGGAAGAAAAATTAACCTGAGACCTAGTTCTGAGCAAATAACTTTTGTTAATTTTATCTCACAGAAAACCCCATTTTCCCATGTACTTTTCTTTATTATAAAATTAGGTTTCCTTAGAGTGTTATTAAGAAAACTATTAACACATTTTTAAAAATTAAAACCTAAGCATCCTATGAATTATCCATATAATTTAGTGTGCTATTTCTTGTTTGAAGAATTTCATCACTCACTAATTTTTCTTCGACCTACTTATTTAACACAAAAAGCAAAAAAAAAAAAAAAAAAGCAAAACAGAAAACCTTTTGATAAACATGAAGGCTTTTTTCCTTAATTTGATCCATACCTTGAGCTGAACTAGAAATTTTCCACAATCTTTCTGTGAATCAACAGCGGTGAAAGAAGGTGAAGTAGATCCGATTTTATTATGGCTCTGAGGTTTGAAGTCCAAGACTTCAGAAACTGTATCCTTTAGATTAAGTGGTGTCTGTTGTCTCTGCTTGGGTGACTGATTAACAACAGGATTAGAATAGATCTTGGACTGCAATAATGACCCAGAAGGTGCTAAATTCAAACAATGGCCCTGTTGTTCATTCTTATTAACAGTGGTTGGGTTAACGACAATATTGGAATCTCTTTTGTCATTTACACTATTTTCCTCCTCACTTGAGTCATTTGGTAAAACAATTCTGGAAAATTTCTTTTTAGAAGGTGCACAATTTTGTCGGATCTTCATTTGTTTTAGCATTACTGCACGCCGGGTTTTATATTTTTTACTGCCACTTGCAAAGCAATCTTCAGTTATTAAGTTAAAATCAACACACACTTCTTCTTCACTTGATTGGCTTTTGCAAGACTCCTCTTCATCAACACAAAAACTATCCTCCAAATAGGTTTCATCTTGCTCAGGAATCTATAGGAAAATATAAATAAGAGTATTTTAAATTTCTTCTCATATAATCAACATGTATTTAACATAACCTTTCAAATGCATGAGACCTTCATTAAAATTTATTTTACATACTTTATTAATTCAGTTACTTGTTCTACTAATATATTCTGAGTATTTTTTTTATGGAGGAAAATTGGCAGTTTCAGGATAAACAAAAAGAATAATCTACCTTCCAGGAATTTACAATCTAGAACAGGGAGCCAGAAAAGTAAACAGTAACCAATAAACAATGTGATAAGTGCTATGTAATAATCTGTTGCCAACAAGTCAATTCTGACTCTGATCCCGTATATTACAGATTAGAACTGCTCCATAGGGTTTTCTTGGCTGTAATCTTTATGGAAACAGATAGCCAGTGCTTTCTACTGCAGCACCACTGGGTAGGTTTGAACCATCAACCTTCACGTTAGTAGTCAAGCACAAATCGTTTACACCACCCAGGGACCTTACTATATATAATAAGTACAATGGATATACAGAGATATGAATGACCATATTACCAAGATGAATATGGCAATTTATTAACAAACAAGACTAATATCAAAATGTTATCCATAAATGATACATAATCTATAATTTTTAGAATATAACATTTTTATGAAAAAATTGTCCAGATAGTTAATAACATATAAGAATCAAAAATTTAACTTATAGATGATAAAATTTTATTCACTTCCTTTAGAAATATTCTAATTGGAAAAAAAAAATTAATAGTATATTGTAACTAGTTCAAATTAAAGACAGGATAATTTGACCAAATTAGTACTAAAAGGGATCTTGAGAATTCATTTAGTTCATCTTCTTGACTCTTACCTTCCTGGGCAGAACTTATCCCAAATAGCTCTGATAGTCCAGTTTTAGAAACAAAATGGAGCCTTCATTAACAGGAACATTTCAACATCACCATTGAGAAATTCTCCATTATATTTCTATAGTACATACCTGTGAGAAAATGTTTATGTTGTTATGTTTCTTATGGACCATTCTGTACTGATTGCTCACCAACGGACTGCGTAAAGATTTCACATAAACAGCTCTCATTTCAGAATCTGTGTAAAGATAATTAAAATTTAAGAGAGTAAAACAGCAAACTATTCAGCTTTGACCTAACCTATAAATATTTAAGTACACAAACGCAATGATTGTACATTTAAAATAATAAAATTATTTAAATTAAAACTGGCAAACTATTTAATTTTGACCTATTCCACAATTTACATGATTCAAACCTTATAAAATTATTTTACAGAAAAGATATTAAATATTTATTGAAAGGTATCTATTCAAAATACAAAGTTAGGAAATTGTCTTTGAAATCAGACCATCTTGCTGAGTGATCCTGGGCAATTTATTTAATAAACTCTCTTTGCTGCAGTTATCGCTCTCCTCTGAAAATGGTGATTAAACGGTGCTTTTCCTTTGAAAATACAATGTATATAAAGCACTTAGGACTGTAACTGGTTTATAGGAAGTATTCAATAAAACAAAAGAAATTCAGACATAAAAGAAAATATGCACTAAAACACTAAAAGCAGCAGCCAAATGGTATGCTTCATAATTTTCAGTCAAGTAAAAATTGAGACACAGTTTTTGATCTATATGATTTGTTAAAGTTATCATATAGCAAAGGGTACTTAAGAAATGATACATGAAAAGAAAATGTGAATTTTGATGTAATTTTTTAAAAGGGCTTATAATCCTACACATTTCAAACATACTGTGTCTAAAATGGAATTTCATATCTCCCCACTTTTCACCTGAATTGTTCCAACTGCATAAACTCAACACTGTGAAAATGTCAGTTCTACTCAGAGCAACCTACAAATACAATGCAATCGTGATTCAAATACAAACAGCATTCTTTAACAAAATGGAAAAACTAATCACTAACTTTATAGGGAAAGGAAAGAGGCCACAGATAAGTAAAGCATTATTGAAAAAGAAAAACAAAGGAGGAGGCTTCGCACTACCTGACCTCAGAACCTACTATACAGCTACAGTAGTCAAAACAGCCCAGTACTGGTACAACGACAGACACATCGACCAACGGAACACAATCGGTAACCTAGATATAAATCCATCTACCTATGGCCACCTGATCTTTGACAAAGGCTCAAAGTCCATTAAATGGGGAAAAGACAGTCTTTTTAACAAGTGGTACTGGCAAAACTGGATATACATCTGTCAAAAAATGAAACAGGATCCACACCACACACCACACATAAAAACCAATTCAAAATGGATCAAAGACCTAAATGTAAAACTCAGAACTATAAAGATCATCAAAGAAAAAACAGGGTCAACACTAAACCCGTTGCCATCAGTTCCAACTCAGCGATTCTACAGGACAGAGTAGAACTGCCTATAGGGTTTCCAAGGAGCAGCTGGTGGATTCAAACTGCCGACCTTTTAGTTAGCAGCTGACCTCTTAACCACTGCACCACCAGGGCTCAACACTAGGGGCCCTAATGTAAGGCATAAACAGGATATGAACCATAATTAACAACAGACAAATACAAGATAAGCTAGATAACTGGGATCTTCTAAAAATTAAATACTAACACTCATCAAAAGACTTCACCAAAAGAGTAAAAAAAGAAAACCTACAGACTGGAAAAACATTTTTGGCTATGACATACCCAACAAAGGTCTAATCTCCAGAATCTAGAGGAAGACCCAATACCCATACAACAAAAAGACAAATAATCCAATTAAAAAATGGGCAAAGGATATAAACAGACACTTCAGCAAAGACATTCAAGCAGAAAACAGACACATGTGGAAATGCTTGTGATCAGTAGCCATTAGAGAAATGCAAATCAAAACTACAATGAGATACTGTCTCATCCCAACAATACTGGCACAAATCAAAAAAACAGAAAATATGAGATGCTTCACAAATTCATCATTGTTCTTTCTCGTTGCATAGTACTCCATTATGCGTATGTACCAGTTTGTTTATCCATTCATCTGTTGATGGGCATCTAGGTTGTTTAGATCCTTTTGCTATTGTGAACAATGCTGCCATGAACATAGGTGTGCATATGTCTATTCAAGTGACGACTCTAATTTCTCTAGGATATATTCCTAGGAGTGGGATTGCTGGATCGTATGGTATTTTTATGCCTAGCTCTCTAAGGAAGCGCCATATCATTTTCCAAAATGGTTGTATCATT